GAACCACCACTCTGGTTCTGGGAGGACTTACTGCCCAATCCTTGGGCGACCCCGTATCGATAGTTAGCGTCAATCCTTAAGATGCGCGCCTTCCATTGCGCATAGGTTGTGGGGCGCTCGTTGTCCCCATGCATAACCGTGTTGCGTACCATCAGTTGTATCGCGGCTTCTACTGCTTTGAACATCTGCTTCTCATTGTCGAACTCCTCGCACTTGTGGGCTAGTCGCTCGAACTTCACGAAGAACTCCACCGCTGACTTGAAGTCTGACTGGCGGACCTTCTTCCATTCCTGCTTCCAAATGGCGAGCTCAGCCACTTCGTGGAACTGGACGGTTAGGTCATGGGAGAATTCTTCCCAAGTAGGGAATCTCCAATGACCTCATGGGTCCTGGTAACGGTAGTACTGATTGTTCCACCATTGTTGGGCCTCCCCCCATAGGTAGCCTTGGGCGAACATAATGCGATAGGGGTTCTGTCCCTGATCGTTCATGGTGTAGTACATTGGAAACACCTGAAAGTACACCTCACAATGATGTAGGAAGCGATTGATATCCGACGATACCCCAGTGAAATACTCCGGCTGAGTAACCAGCTTGGGTTTGACGTTGTTCCAGGGGTTATTCACCGCTCCTGGAGCCAACTGCCAGGGAGGTATGGGGTCTGGAGGTGAGGGTGGTGCCAGCGGTACTGGCAGATTCGGAGGCCGCGGCAGGGAACGGAGGCGAGGGTTGTTCCCTGGTGGGGGGTACCTGTTGGGAGGATGGGGCCTTGGAGGTTCTGTCAGGGGCCACGGTGGTACCGTCGACCCTTTTCCCTTGTCCGGATTGGAGGGTCCTGCCCCTTCATCTGCCCAGTCGTCGTCGTCGCCGGCACCTCCAGCGATAAACTTCATCGTTTCTAGGGGATTAGGCATCGGCTGGGGTCAACGATAAGCCTCACACCCCGGCTGGGGATACTCAGGGTGGACGAGGTTCCACACAATGGCCGCTCGGTGCCATGTTTCTACTTCGAGGATGTTCTTCATCAGGTATACATCCCCGATGAGTTTGGTGCTTCGGTAGTCTTCTCCCGCCTCCGTAAGCAGCCATTGGGGGTCCTTCTCCATGTCTTCCATCATGATTTCATATAGCCCCATCCATGGGAGAAGGTTGAATACTGCCAGCATAGTGATGGCAGTATTAGTGAGAACTGCTCGGACCACCTCCATCACTGCCTTTTCGATGGAGTGATTTGGGGGTCTGCTTGGCATCCTTCCTTGCCTGCCTCTCTCGGGCGACTCGGTCGATCTCTCAGTTCCTTCTCCACCGGGTGATGTCTGAGTCTTCATCGCTGATCTTGGCCTGGTAGGAGTTCCAGGCTCTTCTCCGAGCCTCCAAATCGGTTCCTGCTTGCTGTACGGCGCCGGTATATTGAAGGGCGGTGGTTCAAATTTGGTTCTTGACTTCTGCGTCGGTGGCATCGGGTTTGAGGGGGAGGTCCCAGAGGGCGTTGGGCCCTTGGAGGGCGGTGATTTCGGCCCTTCGAATGCGTGCATCATTCGCTCTTGCTTGGTCCATTCTTTCCTGGACTTCTGGGGCAAGCCTGGCATCTCGAGGGAGCTTGAGGGACTTGACGAGCGTGCGGTAGAGAAGCGTCCATGGACACTGGTGCTCAACAACGGGTTGGGTGAAGGCTCAAGGCAGGACCGACGGTGTGAAATCGGGGACTCCGGCGACCTCTCCAGCACCGGCAATTGTTCCAAGTTCTTCAGGACTGTAGTCTGGAAACTTGTCCCAGAAGAGCTGACCCTCCTGCTGACGTCCGGTGCCATTGGCAGTGGGCACAGGGACTTCTGGGTTTGGGACCGGAGGAAGGGATTGATCATAGGGGAGTGTGATGAATCGGCGGGACAAGCTTCCGGCCACAGGAGCCTCTTCCCCTGAGTTGGCATAGACCCAACTGGTGTGGGGATACCAGGTGACTGGTACCCCTTGGTTGGTCGGCCAAGCACATTCCATGGTGCTTGCTCCATCTGGATGGGTGGTAGACGCAGCGGAGGCCCCAAGGCCAAGCTCTCCAGAATCTTCATTGAAGCTTCCTCCTCCTCAGTACCCTCTTTCGCAGTCGATGGGTCAAACTCCAGTATCATCCTCATCGCCTTCGTTTTCCATGACGAGGCCATCGAGGATGTCTTGGAGCTGGACCCTTTCGAGCTCTGTGAGCTCGTCTCCTTCGAACTCAGTTTTATCATCGCTTTCCTCGCCTGCGACCATATCCCCTCCTTCTTCTCCTGACCCGCCGTTGTCTGACTCGTGGTGGACTGCAGGCTGGTGGAAGAGGCCTGGTAGGGGCGAGTCTCCTCGCTCGTAGAGTACGCCCCTGGTATCGGTGATGTTGACTGATTCATCGGTAACGCTTCTGTAGGAGTCGGTGCTCGACTCTGAGGATCGCGAGTTGGATCGCGACGATGCGTAGAGGGACTCTCCAGGTCCTCTGGGTGTGATGGGTTGGCCATCATGCAGGGTTTGCTGAGAGGCTGGGGGAATGAAGATTATCGGCGGTGGATACGCTGGGGTGGTGGGAATGTAGTGAAAGGGAAGTTGTGCTCTGACTCGTCTTTGTTGACGGCAGCACCGGCGTATCTGGTACAAGAAGATGGATAAGAAAAAGAGTATAAAAATGGCGGAGATTGTGGGAATGGTGTCTGATAAGGGCATCCGTTCATGAGTCTATTTGAACAGTCTGACGGTTACGATTAACCATGCAACTGCTAGGACAGGATAGAGTTCACTAGTCATGATCAGCACAATGATTGCTGAGATTGCGACTGCTTGTATGATGATGGTAACAGGTTCCAGTTTGAAATGGATAAGGGTATGGTAGCAGACGTTTCAAATCCTTAGCAAGCCAGTGTAGGCGACTAGGAGAAGCACTGCTAGGGTGGGAGCCACGATGTAAACCCGGATGATAATCACCACAAGGATGGTGACCAAGACTGGGAAGATCGGGTCATGTAGTACAAAAGGTACTACCCACACCAACACCGCGGTGAAGAGTAGGATTGGGAAAATGTTGGGCAGCATACTGCGATGCTAGGCAATGTGTGTCGAGCTTCAGCTAAATGTTATCAACCAACTTTAATCAACTTGGATCATACTAGGATCTCCACTCGCACTTCGGTGGTAGATACTCTAGTAAGTCAAAGGCGACGTGTGAAGTCGATTGAGGGCAAGATAGATGCAAAACAAGGAGTTCGAGGTTGGGTAGATTAAACCTTAGCCGAAGCTGGGTTTTAGGCCAGCTGAGGCTCTACTTAAATACACTTCTGATATGCTAATAATAGTACTGTGAGAAATGATCCATAGGGATCGCATATGAGTAATCCTGCTGAGTAAGACAAAGAAAAATGAATAAACCATAACATGCTTGCAGCTTCACCCATTTCTTGTGGAAGATGTTAGGGAAATTCCATGCTCAATTCAAACACTGTTTCCCTCCTCCTAGACCTACGACCACCAAAACTTGTGCCTTGTTCTGACAATCGGACCGATTGTCCCTTTCTTTTTGTATGAGGTGCCTATGTGTATACTGTGCTATAAACGCTCAATATTTTTGCAAATGCTATGAAAAGAGGGTTTTCGGAGACTCTCATAGCTCGGAATCGAGCAAGCCTATATCCGACCTTTGCTGAACCTCCCAGTTGTCTCTTTTGTGGATCTTGATGCCCCGGAAATTCTGGTGAGTATTTCAATATGCATACAAAGATTCTACTTGCTCACTCTGAGGTAGCTGAGCGCGATTTTATGTCCTGAACATGTCATTCTTTGCGCAGGTAGTCTGGCTCCTGAGGAGAGTGTGTGCAAGAAAGTCTTTGCATGTGCCAAGCAGAGAGTCTTCGATTATAACAAAACCAAGTTGACCTTTTGTTTCTCTTTTCCTCTGATGCTTATGGCAACGAAGGACTCTGTTTTTGTCTGGAAATTCAACTGTTTGATGTTTTGTCTCTCCAGGTGGCCAGTACCTACGTTTACCTGCTCAGAAACATGCAGGAGTTTCATTAATGCTACTGGAAGGGATTTTCTAGGACCCTATGTGATTATGGCTTCCATGCAGTGAACCCCCGATCATCTTTCGCCCAACTGCAGATCGTTTTGGTTCCGTGTTGGAGTATATCTGTGAGATTTAGCATTAATGGTATGCTATTGATGGTAAATAGCAGGGAACTTAAAATGGTGAGCTTTGCGACATGCATACGAACATTCTTGCTCACTGGGATCCTCGCACAGATGGCCTGGCTAAGAAGAATGGCGACAGTCCTTGTGTGGATGCTCTTTTGAAGTGGCTGAAGATGTTCGGAGGTGCACATTTAAGTTTGTCGCTGCCTTTTTTCAAGCGACTGATTCTCTCGTCAAGCATTCAGATGGATCCGAACTGTCATGACTTGAATTTTTCCAATGAAGTAATTCATTATGGTCTCAAAACACGACGGTTGTCTTTCCAATGGTCATACGCTGACGTGCATCTGTACAGTATTGGGTGGTGTCAGTATCCTCACATATGAACAACGAATGCACCACCTGACAATATTAGGCTCATCGATGAGACAACTAGGAAATTATTCATTCAATTTTACTAAAATGCCTTGGCCCAAGTTCAGGATATGATCGTACCGTGACAAAATCCAAATCATCTGAATCTCGCGACTGACACATCCGACCCGTGTCAATCTTTCAAGCATTCAAATTCTATCTTCCTTTCCACTGCCTGCCCTTCATCAGATTACTACTCTGCCCTCTAGGACACATGGTATTTCTCGACGCGTCAGTCATGCAAGCAGCCGACGATCGAGGAAAGATTAGGGGGTATAAAAGCAGTCATAGATCGGGAAATCCAACATTATAAATCTTGACTTGGAACCAACACCATGTTTATATGTGCTTGGTCCTCTTACTCAGCGCCCTCGTGTTGATTATTTCCTGGTCTTTATACAATGTGTCTGTCACCATCGCTGACATCAGCCATGGCAGACATCTTTCAAGTCGTCTATGGCTCCTCCAACTGGGATTCTACCCTGGTATCCCTGGAACCTTTTTTCCCAAGCGCGGCTATCGATGTCGTCGAGCCAATCGTCTTTGAGACGATGGTCGCCGCCTCCATTTCAGAGCCCTCCTTGACACCAGCTTTGACAACACCCATCAACTCCCTGCCTGATGAGGTATGAGGTGAAGCTCACCCTGTCCCTCTCCCGCCTATTGTCCCGCTGATGAACCTATAGACTCCCATGGGCGGAAACACAAAACCTAGGTGTGGTATGTGCTGACAGACACGGAATCTGAAGGATAGTTCTAGCAAGTCTAGTCAGGCACCTCCATGCGGTGACTAAAGCCTCCTAAGTTCGGAAAGATAAAGAAATTTCTCTACTAGTAGCATAGAGGACGGTAGCGAACTATAAAATTCGCAGGAAGGGAAGTAATTGGGAAAGGGATCCTAGAAGAGGCCCTAAAACGAATCAGTAAACGTACAAGGACTATACCTTGTTCCTGTTGCAACTCTAGCTGCGAGTGCAACGAATAAGAGCTCTAAAGAGACTGTCCAAGTTCTAGCTGCGAACTCAGAGGCTGTAGCGAATTATTAAACTCGTGCGGTAAGGTTGAATTGAGGTGATGAGGATTGGTCTGATACTCGACGAGACTTTCTCTGGCCACGAGAAAGCGAAGGCATTGATGGGAGGGATGAAAACGCTGTCTCCTAGCTGCGGAAGCAAGTGAATTTGTTTGCGAAGCAAAGCAATAAAAGAGTTTCCTAGTGGCGGGACTCCTAATTACTTTGCATAGAAGAGAGGGATGTGTTGTAAGCACAAGTAACCATTAAAGGTTCACCATTGCTTAGAGAAATAAAGGTTTGAGACGAAGTTCTAGCAGCAAAATGTCTTTATTGCGCTACTTCAAGGGTGTATGTTGTATGGTGTAGGTGTTAGAGATCGAAGGTAAGCGTAGAGAATAATCTGGGGTCTCCCTTATTTGCTTTTTTCAAGCTACCAACTTGCGAGCTTAAATACTTGTTACACTGGATAACTAAGCTACCTTACTCTAGCACTAATATTACTATAGCATAGATTATTCAAGTACTTACTTAGGCAAAGGCTGGTAAGTATGCACAGTTACTGCGCCTAAGGCTATACTAATGTGACTAAGGGTTCTCACTAACCAGATCTCCAATACTTCGATGAATAATTTCCTACAGCTGCAGCTGACTTGCCATAGTTTTAGCTACGTGACGTGTTTTGCAAGGCTGCACATGGCTAATTCGTGACTGCAGGGATGTTTCACGTGGGGTGGCAGTGCTAGTTCTAGTCTGCGGGGAGAAGGGAAGGATCGATAGGGCCAATGCCAATGACATCATATGCGAATCACTAACTTTGCATGCTGAACACCCATTGACTTGGTTTAAATTGCATCTTGCTTGCAATCATTGAATTAGGGAAAGTCCACTATAGGGACAAAGGTGATAAATTGTAGGTTGTGTCTGCGATTTCAGAGTGCACAGAGCCTAGAGGCTCATCACCGTGCGCTCCGTCAAACTTGACGATGGTCATGGTATCAACGCTATCAGCAATTCTGCTGGTAGTTTCTGTTGTCGTTGTGGTCCTCAACTGGGCATCTAAGTGATCCCTGCATCGCTCTGCATCTATTCCTGTCTCTTTCTCGCTGCCTTCTTCTGTCTCTGGTTCAAGCCCACGAATGATGTTCTTGGCCCTCATGTTCGCTGTTATGGTCACCATTACGCTGGTTCTGCTGATCATTGAGGGCCTCCTCCTTGAGAGCGATTCCACCACATTTGACATCCTCTGGATTGTCCTCTTCACCCACGTATGAATGACGGGAGTCTATGTCATGGTATCTGCCCTATGGGACATTTTGGAGAGACGCATGGCAATTGGAGGAAGTGGAATTGGCCAAGGCGAGGTTGCTGCCATGGAGGATACACCGGGAGGAGATGACGGAGAACAGGACATAGGTTCACTACCAGTTTCAAACCTTCAGGTGAGTGTCGTATATGATGAATTAGCCCGCATTTGTTCATTGTTCCTTCCAGGCATTGACAAATATGGTGTCCCTACCATCAGAGAACTTGGCGCGCAGTCACAGTACAATGTACATGTGCACAGAGAGCTCCGATGTGAGTACTACACAGAACACATGTCTAATGGTCACTGATATTTGTCTTTTCAGCATATTGCAGGATTTATTGTCATCATTCAACTCTGCAATAGCTCAAACCCCGCTGGATAAACTCCGCCGAGATGTTGCTGATTATGAAAAGGACCTCAATGTGAGTTTCAGACTGGTTTCTCTTGCTGAACATGCTAACGCATGGCTTGTAGACGTTATTGGTCACTGACCTTTTCATGAATCCCCGTAAAGTGCCCTTGACAAGTGCGAGTGTGCCTACAGTCGTTCATGGACCGGAACAAAGTGTCATGGTGAGCATCATTGAATGGTTATCTTTATACACCTGCTGATAGGTGATGTTGTGTAGAACATGTTCGCGGCTCGCCCATTCCCTGACCGGCCGACGATCCCTGGTGATGACGAAGAGCAAATTAGGGCACCCTCAATGGAGCGGCCAACAAACCCAATGTTTCAGGACTCGTTATCCTCAGATGGATCGATTATGGGTATGCCTGTGCCCTTACCCTCCTTGCTTCCGAATGTCTTCCAGCAACTCGGAAACAATGGTCAGGGGGTGGAGGAAACGGTGAGCATCGTCACTTGATTAATGTGGTACACCTGCTGATGGGCATGAAAAGGTCGTGGCTCAGCGATTGGAGAGGCCATTGAACCCAGTCCTTTGGTCAACATCTGAGGTGCTGGCGGTGATGACTGTTTGTCGGCTCGCACTTCCAAGGCCATCTCGGATGAAAGCACCCTCTCAGCAAAAAGCGATAATTTCCATCGACCCGGTTCAGATGACTGGACCATTGCGCATCCCCAAGCCGACGTCCTCTCACATTCCGATCCCTGGGAGGGTGCAGCGACCAGGGAAAGCTTTACCACCATCCATCCCCTCGCTGTATCCAAACCAGCGAACCGCCATACCCTGCCGTTCCCCCTTCATTGCACCTACTACATGCCAGCAGGACAAAAGCGGAACTGCTGCCCGCCGAGCACATCGCTATGTGAGCTCTCATTCCAGTCAATTGTATTTTCATTCTTCTGACTTTATTTGCAGATCCCTAGTTCCAAAAATCCTTGATAAACTTGCCACCATGTTACACTGATGAACGCTTGAAGATGACGAGGATATCGACTAAACAAACTATTCAGTACTGTGTCGTGACATTGGGCATCTTTAGGGACAATCGGCGGTGCATTGGGGTCGATGGGCTCTGGTGCATGCAGCTAGTCACTGGAGGAGGGCTGGTTCACTGACAAGCTTACCAATCCTTCCTCTATCCCTGGCATACGAGGAACCTTGGAGACAGTATGGTCGACAGGCTATCACTGTACTCTAAGGGGCCTCGGAAGGATGGTTGGCTGCCGACAGGTAGTTGACTAGTCCTGTTCTGCCTTTCGCAATGCTTTGCATCGATGACAAACTATTACACCCTATGATGTTCTCATCGTCTCCTGCATCTCATCAGTTCTCGATCTCATCCCCATCTTTGGAAATTCACCCAGGACATCCGTGCGTGTGCTCGTCTCTTTTGATCTCTGTCTTATCTTTTTCTTGACGTGCATCTCTTTTCGTCGACATCCTAACCCACCCTAGGCTATCATTATCCACATGTATTGCGTTGATCCTTCTGGACCTGCATATTCGTCCTTTGGCGTCGATCCTCAGCCTATCATCATTGCTATCAATACTTCTACACCCTGTAGCCTGTTTCTCTTTACTTTTGACATACATGTCTCTTCATCGACATGCTACAGCTCTGCGCCTATCTTTATTCATATCTATTTCTATGCCTTTGGACTCGAATAACATCCATCGGCGCCTATCTTCAGCCTACCGTCATCCCTATCATCATTTCTATTCTCCCTATACCTTTTTTCAACATGCATGTCTCTTCGTCGCATCCTATACCTCCAGCCTATCCTTATTCATATCTATCATTTCGATGCTTTTGAGCTCGAGTAACATCCTTTGGCATCTATCGTCAGTCTATCATCAACATCGCTATTCCTCACTTCAACCGTTCCCTCTCTACCTCGTTTCTATCTCTCTGGATCTCTTGGTCTTCTGTGGGAATTTGTGGGACATCCTATACCCTCGCAAACTTGCATATCTCTAATTCAAGGACACTATCTTTATTTCCTATTTAACATCTATCTGGGTTGGGGTTTTTTCTGTGTTTGTATATTTTTGAGTTCATGGAAATTTATTGTTTTATGAGACAGCTCCATCGATTGTGACTGAATTTGAGCTCAAATCTTAGCATTTCTTCTGGGTAAGTGGTCGCATTCGAGCACTTAGCTTTCGCTTTGGAGCTACAACTACTGTTTCCTTTTTTTGCTGCCAACTCGTTCCCTCAGCGATCTATGCATCCGATTAATCCACAGATATTTCGCTGCTACGTTTGTACAAATGTAAACATCAGGACTGATCTTTCACTCCTCCGGTTTTTATGGTAGCTTGGTAGTCATGACATGGTTCCTTTCCAACCTATCTCAGAGTCCTGTACCTTCGCATTTTTATGCCCTACTTGAAGCTCCGGCAGCCACAGGACTGCTCAGGTATCTATGTTCACTTTGCCCACTGCTCCTTGACTGACCTTATATCTATCAGTGTGAATGAAGAAATGGACGATAATGGCATAGTAGCTCGAATAACGGAGAACAGGGCCACCTTAGAAGCCGTTGATGAGGGATGAGCTAGGTTCAAAGTACGTCTGCCTCTATTGTTTTCAAAACTTGCCTATAACACACTGCTTCTCATACAGAATTCGCTTTGAAGGATACGTATCATGGCCTGCTGCTGGAATACGTTCAGATTCTGGAATAAAGAAGGCATCCATGCATGCATCCTGCATTGTCTTGACCTACAGCACTCTTTTCCATTTCTCTTTCCAGTCTTCAACTCGTCCATTTTCATCATGAACGGCATCACTCCCGTCTGCCTCTCTTTCCAGTCTTCTCAAACTCACGCCATCCAGAGCTCTGTTCACCTCATTTTGTTCAACCCGTTCTATGTTTCGTGAAGACTATCCAGACGATTCAAGTGCCCATCTTTGCACACAAAACACTGGCTATTCTCGGTGTATAGGCTCTGATGCCGAACGACGCGATTTGGTTTGCCACGACTGCATGAGCGCAATTGCTAGAGGAATATCTGCTTGTTTGGGGGGTACAGAATGACAGAAAGTGTGCTACGAGGAGCCTGTGTCGTACCTGGGTAATAGCCAAGTGCACATATATGCAAGCTTTGGTCAACAGATATTGTGCAGTGTATCTGGTAAGCCACATACTATGCCCTGCTGAACTGCATTCCATGAACTAATATCATGTCCCAGGTGTGAGATGTTCATTGATATCATCTATCATCATTCAACATGTTGCGTCGCGTGCTAGTATTTCTGGGCCATGTATTCTCAGTCCTGACATCATCAAAGTTTTTACCATTTACAAACATGGAACACCATCTTCGGACTCCATAATTCAATGCATACATCTAGAAAGGCACCGCAACGTTTGTATTCGGTTGCTATCTCTATCTTTGGCCTAGTATATCGGCAATGGCATCGGTGATCACGTCCATACCATCATCAGCTCAGATGGGGAGAGTGAGGAGCTGTTTCCATCCTTGACGATGGGACCGTCTTTTTAGGTCCAAGGAATGCGGTATCACGGTACAACCACTGCATAGTATGGACAAGGACGATAAATAACTTTTGCCCTGCCCTAAATTACATGTGATCTCGGAGGGACCGGACCACGCCCAGCACTCTGAAATCCAATCTTTGAGTCTTCCAAGCATTCCCGTATTCAGCCCAGCAACAGACAGCAACCATCAATGGTGTCATGGTGTCCTCGTTAAACTCTCATCAGCAGCTGTCGTCTGCATCATTTTTTCGCTGACTGACTTCTGAATGGTCCTTTGATAAAAAAAACAAGCCTGCACCATGCTTTCAGCCACGGATTCTCTTTTTTTGCACTCGTATCTATTAGTTTATCTGAACGCTTATTGCTTCTCCGTATCTACTTACACTCGCCAGTTTCCATTTCACGTGGACCTGTTTAGCCCGCCCTCCCTGTGAATATTCTTAAAAGTCAAGGTCTTTTGTTACCCCGCTCTTTACGGGCTCAAGATATCTGCTTGGGCTGGCCAATATAGTACAATAGTATTTTTTTTCACTATGCCTAATGAATATTGATTGTGCCTTTGCTTCTAGTTCAAACTCCCCGAGCCTGCTTTATCCATCTCTCCATGCTGATGGTATGTAGACCCATTCAGTGCTAGTTGAGCGGGACACCCTCTTCAGAATGTCTTCTGGTACTACTGGACTTGATGTCTAAGGGTCTCAGCTATTTTTTATCATCTCTGCGCAGGCTTTTTCATCCTGAAAACGTGCTCTGTTTCATGGTCTGGACTATAAGGAATATTCAGATGCATGGGTCATCACATTTTTTGTTGGTTTCACATGTGCACCCGCTCCATCTTCTATTCCTCAGCTGATGTTTATATTATCAGATCTAGGTGTACTTGTGCACCGTTTCGCACCAATTCCTCATCGCTAAGTATGAATCGATATCTCAGTTCTGTGCATCTTTAATCCGATACTAGTCCCTAGTTGCACCTCTGCTCTATGATAATTTCCGTTCCTTTCGAATACTCGACATCTACAATGTTCTCTCTCAAGCAATCCGTCATTGCTGCATTGGCTTTAGGAATCGACATGGTCAATGTGCTCACCGGGGACGGTATGCATTATTTTCTATAATGCTTTCTGCTGCAGTACTCACAGTAGCTCCAGCCACTTGGTACACTCCGAACAGTGGGACCAGAGCCTGTGGTGCTCCCCTGCAGAACTCTGACCACATCATGGTGCTCTCCAGCAATCAATATGCTGGAGGGGCGCACTGCTGGAAACACATTGGAGTGCACTGTATGTTCCATTGTACCTAAATGTCTCGGTGGTGCTGATGATGCGCTCCTTTAGACAAGGGCAAGTTTGTAGACACCACCATCGGGGACCTTTGCCCTAGCTGTGGTCATAATGGGATTGATCTTTCGCCATCCGCATTCCAGAAACTCGCACCTCTCGATGACGGGCGTATCCAAGTCACCTGGAACTACAAGTAGATCTTTCTATCTAATGTAGCAGGAGTGATTGTCGAATTTCCTCTCACTATTGTACTGCTCTGTGACTTTAGCTACCAATCTATGCGTTCCTGTCAACCAAAGAATTGTGCGTTGCTTTCAACAATCAACATCTGAAGTTGACATTATTCTTACAAGATATATTCGATAGAAAGGTTTGTCCTCACTCGGACTCTGGCTATTCTACTGCATGGAACTTTCAGAAATGAAAGAAGAGAAGATATGTGCAATGTGCAATATAATTACTGCATGACAACACAGCGACATAGGCATTAGGTGATAATTAATGTAGCTCTATAGAATAGGAAAGGCGACCTTCAATGTAAAACGAATTATTGGAAACCTTGTACCAGCAAGGACTCCATGACATGGCAATCGTGTCCACTAGGTGCCTAAAACAAAGACCCTGCTATCCACTATGATCACAGATCTGAAGCACCATCCGTTCTCCTGTTCTCTGGCGCATCAGCTCCCTTTTCGGTATCCACGTCACCCTCAGGCTCATGACTATCAGTCATCTCTGATCCACCATGTTCCAAGTCAATATCGGCAGATAACTCACTATCGGGACTCATGCTTGTCGAGCGAGTTGCAGACCCAAACTGTAAGGACGAAGCGCCGTTGCTTGCTTGCCAGTCACCATCAGGATGTACATTCCCTGATGCTACATGTGCCATGATAAGCGTGGGTGAGATCGCCTTATAATGGAATGTCAGTATCGAGATTCTTTCACAATGATAGGATAGTAACCAACAGTTATTGCTGGCATAGAGACTGGGCAGGTAAAAATATGCAACAGTGTTAAGATTGAGTAACACCATACATCCTACTAAGCAAATGGCATGAAGCAAAGCGGACTCGACTAGAATCTCAATGGCTCGGCGGTAAACTTGTGTACCTGTGCTGTCATCTGTATACTTCTTGACTGTCAGGATACGATAGATTATGAGTGTGGTGCACCAAAGGGTGGTTCCTAAGGAGAAGGAAAGGAACACCGTCATCCAGAAGATTTCTAGCGATGTCCCGGGAGCGGTACCGACATTGTCTAAGCCTCTTTGGAATGCGAAGCAGCCACAGACTATGAAAGGAAGTTGAAGGTATAATAAAGCGAAAGGATTTCCAGCGCCTCACCTCCTCCAGCCAGAAAAAGTAGTATTGGTGGTATAACAAATGACCAACGGCGGCCCCAGATAATCCAACAGCGCCAGATCTATACATTGTGCAAGGGTCAGTACAAGTTGAAAACGAGAATACTAAACATCATAACAGACCGTGATACCATCAGCAATGCCAGTATTTATACCCAACCCGATTATCGATGCACAGTATAGGTTGAAAACGCCAGAGTTTTCTTTTCCTTTCCCAATAAAGTAGTAGATAGTGCAAACCCAGTCTGAGGCCACATAAATTGTGGCAAATATGTACAAGGACACAATAAGGGAAACCATGATGTGTCGTTTTTTGGGTCAGCATTGTTTACTAAAGACTATTGAAAAATTTATCATGCATGGGTACTGAAAAATTGGGGATCAACACACATGTTGCCCACAAAGCCACTATCACAACGCAAGTATGGATACCTGTTGTATCTCAACCCACTCAGTCAATGTGTATGTGCATCAATTTGCATACTGACCATGCCCGAAGACTCCCAATAGCGCCTGATTTACCTGTGCGATTAATACTTGTTCGTCTGACATGGTGAAGACTTGGAGAGATTTTCCATGGATTGAACTTGATGCCTCCTCTTATGTAGCACTGACGAATGGACCTGTAATAGCCCGCTGATTGACTGAAACTGATGGACACAGGATTACAGATAATATACTTGTGGCCCAGAGGTGAGTAGACCTGTGACCAGACCCCTACAATGAGTTGAAGCGTCAATGTAGGGGACCTGTAAAGCTGACTTTTAATTTATAGGCAGTGATGTGCTCGGTAACGGGCAGCGCGCAAATGAAACAAGCGTCTAGATCGTCAATCTAGATACTAAATCACACACACACACACACACACAATCACCAATGTATATAAGTTCGAGGGTGAGTACGATAGAAGCACTCGCGATGTACTTAGATTTAGATAATCTAGTGGGGTTTTGCCTGAAAACAACTTCAATTCTTCTTTCGATGTGTTTTACACAAAGTACACTAGTCTGCGATAGCGGGGTTTTATGAACTTGTTTTGTAAGGTATAGTCAAGCAAGTTATGCTCATTTCAACGTCATCTAGAAGAACTTCTAGCAGACACTTCAAATAATCAAACAACCAAAGACTCTGAGGTCTACAAAGAGTGCAAAATCACTCTACAAAGAACGCTCAGGTTCTGACTTCAAGTACAAGACTTGCAAAGAGTACACAGACTCTGGAGTTCCTTGAACTCGACGATTGTTCGAACTTAAAGCATTCTAGGGCTTATTTTACTTCAACTAGATGAGGTCTTTTGACTTAAAGTCGACTCAGCACATCTAGATCACTAATCTCGGAGAGAGAGAACATGAGGCCTTTGTCCATGGAGCAGTTCAATTAACTAGCAAGGCACAAACGCGGGGACGGCTCTACTTCCTACTTAACTCTTCTAGATTACTGTAGTCACCCTTATGGGTTGACTTTGGTAACTTAATTCACTTCAGTCGAGGATATGCAATAAAACCAGTGATTGATTAGGTAGCTATACAGGCTACTAGCACAAACGCGGGGGGGATGCTTTCCTTCTGTTATGCATCTAGTCGCTGCTAATTTATACGATTTGTGTTCTAGGTATAGGAGCCCATATCTACAGTAATTATGGTACAAGCTTTGGAATTAATACAAACGGTGAGTCACTATCCTACAAGTATCGTGCCATTCCGTAGTTTCTATTCAGTTCGACATGACTGCGCCAGGTTATTCTGTCACTGAGGAGTGCCCTACTAGTCTGTGGGTGCTCCTTCTTCCATCTGCAAGGCTTGCCATGCGCCGTATGTATGGAATACTGCGGTACGCACAGGATCTCGAGGATGTAACCACCAATCACGATCGACTGCAGGTCTGAGATTATATTCTGTTGATCACTGCATGATCAAGGTTGGTCATCTCGGTACCCAACGCAGCTATTCATTCTTCCAAGGTTATTCCTTTCCTAGCCTGAGTTGATCTCGAAAGCTGATCTGTTTCTCGACTTAGCAATTTTTCCTGACAGGTTCTTTCTACTCGTCGAGGCGACGAGGCATCTAGTTTGTTCCATTCTTCAACTTCTTGGTTTTTATACTCCATACAGACAAGTCCCTGAGATTTGACTGTAATAGTCTTGTTTAGGTGGGGCTTAGCTTGGCGTGTTGACGGCTGGTAGAATTGACTCTTTGAGACGTTGTTTCTAAGTCCGTTCTGTACTGCTGTGCTTTCATTCTTTATGTAGTATTTAGCTACCAGCGTGAAGCCTCCACTGTAGCTCTCTGTACCGCTTGTAGATTGCATAAACAGATGTAAAATCGCAAAATCTACGGGTAGCCTGATACCAGGCATATCAGCGGCATGGTTAGGCATTTGCCGAGGCCCAAAAAGGCCATTCGAGTCGTTACCATATTGGGGTTTTGGTGGTGATCGCATCCATTTCGTTCAGATACTATCGCGTCTCGATGCGCAGCCATGTATTTTGTCTTCAAAACCTCGTATTACCATCTTTAAACTCGTATAATCCATATGGAGACCTTCTCAATTGTTAAAACATTATCTGACACCCTTGCATCCATCCGAAATGCCACCCTTGAGTCGCTTCACCATCGTATCACACAAACCATTGATTCTGACCATGTCCCCTTCACATATATCTGCTCATTACCCAAGGGTCAACAACTCATCTGTTACCTCTTCATTCTCTTGGCGTTTTTCATGACATGTGGTCGAGAAGCTCCAAGAGAAGTCCAGCTCCGTGCTGCTCTTGCTTCTTATGAGCGTTGAGACTGAGCAGTCATTGCAGGGACAGGACCTTGGTTTTGCAGCTACAGATTTCAACGCAGTCGCCTTCTTGGGCTTTGGATTGAGGATGAACTGGGTTGATGAACTGGCAGCTGTTGGCACTGCTGAGGATGAAATGGGAGTATAAAAGACATGTGTAGAGCAAAGAGATTCTTCTGGTAATGGATTCGATTGCTGGACCATGGCTAACGAAATGTACAGAGCAAAGTCGTGTCGAGACACAATAGTATCTGAACGAAATGGATGCGATCACCACCAAAATCCCAATATGGTAATGACTCGAATGGCCTTTTTGGGCCTCGGCAAATGCCTAACCATGTCGCCTATGAATTAAAAGTCAGCTTTACAGGTCCCCTACATCGACGCTTGCTCATTGTAGGGGTCCAGTCACAGGTCTAAGAGGTGAGGATTTCTTACTAAGTGACGCAGAAGTATCAGCTTCTGATTTCAGGGCGAGGGGACTGGAAGTCGGTTTTCTGTCCATTTCACTGGGTGTCGCACGTTCCAAAGCGAGCAAAAAGAATGATGGTGAATTAAAAAAGAAAAACTTTGGGAAATGATCAGACTTGGAGACCCAAAAATCATAGTCCCAACCTGATTTACTCTAACCTTGTTACAGTGATCTCGACAATAAAACTAGTAATTCATACTTCGTGTCATCTAACCTGCCCAAATCGGACAAGGCTATGCACGAAAGATGCATGGTAAAAGATCTCATTGATGAATATATCAATGATTGATCCCAGAAGCTCAGCATATAGCCTTCTGACAGAGGTAGTACGAGGCAAACTGATAAAGTCCAAAGATTCAAAGTCGCAGCAGTAGGCAGCCATCGCACTGGCTAGTAAAACAGGAGCAATTGTGTAGAATCTCCAGGCCATATGTGTACAGGAACTCACTGCGAACATCAGCATACCTGAAGGTACCATGTGGTGATAAGATGATGAGATAATGACAATCAGCATCTCGCCAAGAGACCAGTGATGGGACCAGTGAGGAGGCAAGATAGCCTTCGATGTGACAGAAACCAGCCCAATAGCATGGAATACGTACGATGGTGCTTGATGCGAATGGACCATACCAAGGAAAGGATATAGGGCAAGGGAGATAGGAATAGGGTCCTTGCAGATGACATCACCAACATAAACAGAAACAACCATTGTATTCCCCGGCACCCTCTAAAGTGGAAGATGTACAGTGCCGAAGGTCTTACATCATTTGTGAAACAATTGAGTGCTTACATTGTTGTGCTATCAACTCGAAGTGAGCTCTGTTCCCTAGTCTTGTCTGATTTGATGATTTGTATAGCCGGGTGGCACGACGAAACATTTTGTGAGGTGGTGCTTGTGAGTTTGATGTGAGATGGAAAACTACAGCTGGAAACAGACATGGATGATGAATACATGCACTCGAAATGAGATGGCAGAGCTCACCAATACCCTTGACATCAAGCAGGTCAAATACGGGTGCACTACCGGGTGTGTGAATTCATCATACTCATAGGCAGCTATCTGCATCTGAGATGATGCATTTATCAAGGCGGTACTGAATTCCAAATTCGCTGGCATGAGGCTGAAGTCAATCCCATCCATCAGCATGATGTGCCAGGCCCCATGAACCAAATGGTCAGCGCCCGATGAAGAAAGAACATTTATGCGGTGTGCAAGGTGCCTGGTGCCTGAATGCATAACAATACTTTCAGTGTCCACATCAATCCAGGATAGGAAGCCCTATGAAGTATTGATTTGAACTAGTGCTGACCGAAAAAAAACTACCTCGCCTTGGGGAGAGTGGTTGAGTCTGACCCAGAATGATGATGGCCTATCGTTGTGACCAGGAAAGTGGGAAATGGCACTTCTATGAGCTCTTATCGCTGTGAACAACCTCGAAGATTTCTTTGGATTCCCGACAGCATAGAAGTGTATCGAATTTTGGCTTCATTCTAACTTGACAACACTAATAGTGGTAAAGCATGGAGAAAATATCGAAAAAATGCTGGATCAAAAATGTCATGTCAGATACAGTGTCATGAACACGGCATTGAGTGGAGACCTACCTCCTTCGAACGATGTCAGAAAATCCCAACAAGAGTGCATATGAAGCCGAGGGAAAAAATTCTGGACGGTGGTGGTAAGAGAAGAAGCCAACATGACCCCGGGTACCATCATCATCACTGCAACTGTGACCTTCCTTGTCGGTCTCTTTCCAACTTTCAGATGCCTATGCCTATGCCTATGCTAGCAGCATTGAATCATGGAGCCTTGTACTAGGAAAACATTGCTGCAAAACTTTGAGGAACTGTCAATGAACCAGAGGTATGTCTGCATCTATTATTCGGTCTAGCCTCCTGTAATGCATTGCTTTTTGTTGCTTTGCAGGCTTCTGTTCAACATGGTCACAATTCATGGTGCCTCCACCTTTCTTTGCATTCTTCTGGCTTCCTTCTCCTGATGTTTCAGTTATTCAATGTTGACCTGCATCTTGTGCATTCCGTGCAGACTGTTTAGAAGATATATGCGCCAATTTTTCCATGCAGAAAACTGTCTATCCTCAGCGAGTGATCTCTGGTGCTGAATGATGCTATCGAGATTGCTGTGACTGCATTAGCGCGGTGGCCAGAAGAAATTTGACTTGTTCGGAGGGTACAGAAGGACCGAAACGTCGCTGCGAGGTTCCGGTGTCGTGCAATCGTGGTATAATGGCCAGTTGTGGGAAGGATGTATATGGGCGAGCTTTGACGGTCTAGTCAATGGATGTCGCGTCAATGTCACTGGTAAGCCGCGTTCCACATTCACTGAGGGCATTTTCGATTTTTCAGTCCTCAAATGCTATCAACTCGGGCTTGCCGACCTCTTTTCTCTTGGATCTTTTAGGTATTACCAATGAAACCGATTTCAAACCTTTATTGTTCCCACAGCATGATTTGATCCACCAACTCTTGAAGCGGAGACTTTGAACCTGTCATTTGGTTCATCGACAAAAGGTATCAGAAAAATTCCCACCTCCAATAGCAGCATTGGTTACGTTCCTGTGCTTAAATCCAACAATGTGATGCTGAAAGGGTATTCAGTACATGGACCTGCAGCTGATTCACTACCAGTACTTTCATAGAATCATCTCGACTCCTTTGATTCATGAACAAACGGACTTGCCTTCGATATAATATGAATGGTGATCAAGTAATCCTGGTATATGCAAGACGCAAGATTGAGTAAAGTCACAATGCAAAATCAGTATATCAATGGAAGCGAGAACAAGGTAGCTTCTGCGTGCTGCAAGGCTTCTGAGAAGCTTAGTCCATAATTGTTCTTGAGACTTCCACCTGGTCAGTTTAATTATGTGGGGCCAAACTGTGCACCAAAGGCAGACTTCCTCGTGAGACGGAGTACTGAGCCACTGGCATACTGGACAGACTGAGTGCCTAGGATGAGGACAAGCACCTAAGACAGGAAGTTCAAGGAAGAGAGTTTAGACATGCATGGGTCGGCCGAGTAGCTAATATTGAGCTATCTCTTCTTTGATGTTGGTAAAGGAAGGGAAATAGTAGGAGAAAGAGGCCTGAGGATGCACTCAACGGAGACAAGTGGATCTTTGGAGTACAGTACCCACTCCCCGTATAGGGTCTTCTATTTCAAACCATGAAGTTCCAAAGCCCTGAGTGATAACCGGGACCAGTGAAATTTAGTTGAAAATAGACTTGACAGTATAGAAGGAGAGCTATCGAGATATCAGTTCAAGATGATGATTAGAGATCGATAAGGTTTTGTGCAACTGTTAAGGCCAATCAGATCTTTAAAGATCAAGGCGTAGGTTGTCTGAATAAATACTCAAACGATTTCTGTGTGTTTCTGTGACTTAACAAGGCAGTGTTTAGCTATGAAGAATAACTGAGCTCAGTGTTTTCTATAGTGAAGAGAAATGATCCGATAGCCTGAGATCAAGTAGGACTACTACCTCGTACTATTCAATAGTACATTACCGACTGCACCAAGTTAACGGTCAATGAAAAGTACGTCCTCAGTGATATGGGTGAAGTGCCATGAGTAGTGAGAGTATGTAAGGGGATGTGATACGAATCTAATTCTGAAGTCAATGAAGCCTCACCTCATTGTGGCAGCAGCTTGATAGGCACACCGCACTATGGCAGCACTGGTAAGTGCCCACCAAAGCTCATCCCTGATATCCACCCTGTGCCGACGGCGAAAACACCATTGTTGCCTTGGAGGAACAGGGGAGAATTCTGAGGTGGTGAATTAGAACACTGGAGTGGCGGTGAGACTCTGAAGGCTGAAGGAGGAAGAGAGTGTACTTACTTTACTGTCACTGTGGATGAGCAGCTCTAGTTTTGGATGGCATGTACACAAAACGAGACTTGAACATGCTGCAAGAGTAATATGAGGTTCGTGTCCCAGATGCTGCATAGTGTCATGAATGAGAAACCGTTAGCAAAGAATCATGGCTAGAATACGAAAGAGCTGTCGTTAGACGTGATCTATTTTAAGTCTCAATGTCATGAAAACAAAACCGGAAGCGTGCGCTTAAATACTCACGTATGTTTAGCCACCTCTTTGGTTCCAGTCAACGAGAGAGAGGCGCGAAGCACGCACCAAGCATCAGGCACCGAGAAGAGTAGATAAAAAAGTTTTCCTGACCCTTGGACAACGGATCTATCGGCACAAGCCCGTAATGGTGGTCTGTTCGATGACGCATAAAGCACTGTCGAAGGAAAAAAAAAGTTGATTAGTGGTCGACTTCTCAGCTACGACGACTACTGACACATACTTTCCGTCTCGGTGACATAAGTGCCATCAACGTTCGGAACAGGCAAAACTGCAAGTACTTGAGCTCAGCTGTCCCATGCTGATACTGGTCATACTGTGAAAAAACTATAAGACGGTGTGGCGTCAATTGAATGCCTTTACCGAATCGAAGAAACAGCACATAAACCTCATTGTTGCAGAACTGGCGATATCGACGTGCCGGAGTGTCCGGTGGCACTGGTTCTGTAAGGAAAATTTAATCGCTACGCGGTAGGCTCAAGCACAGGCCTCATAGGGTCTTCTCAGGGAGTAAACGCTCGTGTCTGACGATTTTTATAGTGTCACAGGCATAGCTTCATTTAGTATACCTCCCAGAAAACTAATCTTGATGGCAGTAACTCAGACATCGTATGTTTCATCTAGCAGACCCTGACATTATGAGGCTCGGGTTATGTAGCAGGAGCTAGTAAAACACTCACCCTAGGCTAGCGCTCTGAGTGAATTTGTACATATGGATAAGCCTTGCCAATTGTAGTCTTATTTCGTCATAGCAAAATGCTTCTCTATCACAGAGACTCAAGATTCCAGAGGCGTTTAGACAGCGACGGCATCCATGGCCGAGATTGGGATCGAGTGCAA